ACTATTCTGCCCAAAAAAAAATGGCTGCATATATCAAGCTGAGCCATGCACTAACCGGATGGGTGGCGCATATTTTACTCCATTAAAGCTGAATGTATGTATATGGGTTGAAGCCTAGCCAAATTGGGTTAAGGCCTTGTCGCCTGAATCAACCGTCTGGGGTATCATCAAGCAAGGCTTCAAAGAAACGCTTGGGTACCTAACAAGCAACTGATTGACTTCCGCCTGCTGATTCAGCTAGCCAACCTTTTTCATTTCTAAAGCATCTTCAAGAAAAAAAGGTCTAGAGATGGTGCCGCCTGGGTACCACAACAATTTCTGGTTCTTTCCGTGTGTATGTTGCTTGAAGTCTTGCCGCATGTATATGGGTTGTCAACCCACCGGCACTTGTATTTGAATCTGAAACCAAGCGGCATGGTAGAATCAACCGCCTGGTTTAGTTTGGTTGGCATGAGTAATTTTCAAGGCAGGAGGCATCTCAATAGAGAGCCGCCTATATAAGCTGAGAGCAGATTCAATTCGTTGAGCCGCCTGTATAAGCTGAGAGCAGATTCGTTTCTCGAGCTTAGTTACTCGGCGTCCCATGGCCGTCTGTCATCATTTGAAGAGCTCAGTATCATGAATCAGCAAGAGGCATCTCAATATCGTCCAACATATTGACAAAAATCCTCCATCGGAAGGTACCATTCTAATAACTCAGTATGAGTATTGTGTGCTTCCTTATTATTATTGATTGGTTCTCAATACCACATCCTACTTGATTTTTTGAAAACATTTAATATTGGTTTAAGTATCCCTCAAAGGCAGCATACCGGCCGAAAAAGGTCTAAAAGTATGTTGAATTGGCTTCAGTAGAACCACCGCCTGTGCAATGTGCTGGCGGCAAAATTTAAATCAACCATCTGCTCCAACATGAGTAGATATAAGCTAATTCTAAACAACTTAGCGGTTGTGTTGCTTCTTTTAGAACAAACGAATTGAGGCCTATGGCCGGAATGATCAAATCAAGGCCAATGGCCGGATGATCAAATTGAGGCCTATGGCTATGGCCGGAAAGATCAAATTAAGGCCTATGACCGAATTATCAAATTGAGGCCTATGGCCAGAATGATCAAATCAAGGCCAATGGCCGGATGATCAAATTGAGGCCAATGGCCGGAGTGATCAAATCAAGGCCAATGGCCGGTTGATCTTATTAAATTAAACAATCCGTCTGCTCCAACATGAGGAAGCGTCCGACGACGCCCATTTAGGTGAATTCATCGCAGAGAGCATCTCCCATTCGGGTGGCACATTGCTCTATAAACTTAAAACAAATGGCCCTACCGACTGTCAAAAAAGGTAAGTTCGTAGCCATTTGAATCGATCAAATGAGACTAAAATAACAACACTATTGGCTGTTAAATACCAGCGGTACCCAGTTACTATCTTGGTCAGATGCCGCCTGCTGTTGCTCAAAAGCAATACCGTCGGCTAAATTTGAGGATATAAGCTAAGTCAAAAACTTAGCGGCTAAGTGTTGTTCCCTTTAGAACAACTCTATGAGGCCAATGGCCAGATTATATTGAGCGATTTACCCCCTACTCGATGGTCGATAGTCCGCCTGGTCTGGGGCTATCAGCATAGTGGGGCTAAAAGAAATAAGAGTCGACATCTGTCTAGTTCAGCGGCAATCATTATTATGATTTGATTAACTTTGAAAATGTCATACCGTTCAAGGTATCAAAATTTTCCAAGTTAATCAAATCCCTCTTTCATTGAACTAGACAAATGCCGACCAAAGAGGCTTAAGGGGTCTCAGATTCGAAAGGAACAATCCCTCCTAAAAGAGAGATTACTCCTTCCGAGGGGCTAATGTTTAGGGGTAAAAATACCCCTGACAAATGGACCTATGCTAATGCAACATGTGTCCCTAAGCTCAGCGCTCAATGAGCCAGTTAGAGCATGACACGTGTCATTTCAAAGGGGAAAACGGGCCTTAAGCCCATAACCCTAGAAACCGTAAAACGGTGGAAGCCCATCAACTAGGGTTAAATAACCTAAGAGGCACCTCTCCCAAAAACTCTATAAATACTGATCATTTACATCAGTTGATGGGGCATGCATATTGAATACACATTCAATCCACACAAATCAGAGAGCAAAAAGCTCAGATATTGAGGCTGTCTCAAACAGCCGGAAGATCACTCCTTCTAAGAGGAGCCTGATCACATTTACATTCCGCACTTTACTCCTCATACACGTTCTAACTTGATCGTCGAAGGCGGAACTCCCACCCCTGAGAGTCTCTGTTGTTTTGCAGGTACAGGCAGCCAGAGGTCAGTCTTGGTGTTGTAACTCTTCCGTAGGACACTCAAAAAACCCCGAAACAACAGGAATTTTATTTCAAACATCATGTGTGGATACTCCTCAATAAAATGGACGTGTAGAAAGGAAACATAAACATATCTTGAATGTAGGTCAAGCTTTGCGATTTCAAGCTAAGTTGCCAATTTATTTTTGGGGGGAGTGTGTTCTCACTGTAGCTCACATGATTAATCGCACCCGATCCCCACTCTTACAAAATAAAACACCTTTTGAAATTCTTTTTGACAAGCCTCCCTTGTTTGATGCTATTCAAACCTTTGGGTGCCTATGCTTTGCTCATAATAAAAAAACCAAGGGAGATAAGTTTGCTAGTCGTAGTAAAAAGTGTGTCTTTGTGGGATATCCGTTTGGCCAAAAGGGGTGGAGATTGTTTGACTTGAATACAAAAGAATTTTTTGTTTCACGGGATGTGAAATTTGTTGAGGAGGTCTTCCCGTTTGGGAGTCCGGAGGTTGCGAATATTCACAATAATGAGTATGTTGACCAACAAGTCCATGAGGATTTTGCAGAATTAATTTTAGAGGAAGGGATTGAAAGTGTCGACCAAAGATGTGAGGAACAAGTCCAACCACTCATCAGGCCAGACCCAACGCCTATTTGGCCCAATCCAGCACACGCTGCGTCATCTCAAGACCAGCCCAGCTTGCCTATAGTTGAGTACTAACTTTCAAGCGCCTGATGGGCCCTCTCTACAGCCCAGCTCGCCTTCTGTTAAGGCCGCTGGGTTTCCAGCGACAGATGGGTCGCCTCTTCGACCCACAGTCACCCCTTCGATTGATGATGGGCTAGTCTCTGATGGGTCATTAAACACGCCTTCCGTTGTAGACGATTCTCATGAGCAACAATTGGGTCGTGGATTTAGACAAAAAATTCCCAACGTCAAGCATCGTGACTATGTGACACATACGGTTTTTGCTAAAAGTCCACTCTCTCTTCCTTCCGATCACTCCTCTGGTACTCCTTATCCCTTAGCATATTACATAAATCGTGAAAATATTTCCGTAAATTATCAAAGATTCCTTGCAGCTATTATTAAGGGTAAAGACCCAAAATATTTTAAGGAAGAAATGCAATATGATGGACGGCGCCAATCTATGAAAGAAGAAATATGTGCTCTAGAGGACAATGGTACATGGATTTGGAGTGTCTCCCTCCTGGGAAACGTGCTCTTGGTAGTAAATGGGTCTATAAAACCAAATATTTGTCCAATGGCGAAGTTGAGCGTCTAAAATCAAGATTAGTGGTGTTTGGAAATCATCAGCAAGCTGGAATTGACTACGAAGAAACTTTTGCTCCGATTGCCAAGATGACTACGATTCGTGCTTTTCTCGCTATAGCAGCTTGTAAAAAATGGGAGTTACATCAAATGGATGTTCATAATGCTTTTTTGCATGGTGGCGTAGATGAAGAGGTCTACATGAAGTTGCCTCCCAGATTTGAAAGTTCGGATCCTTCTTTGGTGTGTAGGTTGCGCAAGTTCCTGTATTGTTTGAAACAACCTCCCCGTTGTTGGTTTGCAAAATTGGTGTCGACTTTGAAAAAGTATGGCTTTCTCCAATCCTATTCTGATTATTCTTTGTTCACATATACTAATGGCAAATCCCAAATTAATGTCTGAGTTTATGTGGATGATCTTATTATTTCTAGGAATGATTCCGCTACTCTTAAGGTTTTCAAGGCTTATCTTAGTGATTGTTTCAAGATGAAAGATCTTGGAACTCTTAAATATTTTTTGGGCATTGAGGTGGCCCATAGTTCTTCTAGGTTATTTTTGTGTCAACGAAAATATACTCTGGATATTATTTCTGAAACAGGTTTACTGGGAGCAAAGCCTAGTGGGTTTCCCATTGAACAGAATCATAAGCTTGCTCACGCAACTGGCAAATTTATGAAGGATCCCAAAGCATATCGTCGTCTGGTGGGACGACTCATTTATCTTACTGTGACTCGACCGGATTTAGCATATTCGATTCACATTTTATCTCAGTTCATGCAATCCCCCCGTGAAGATCAATGGAAGCGGCCTTGAGGGTCGTTCAATACTTGAAAGGGACTCCCGGTCAAGGTATATTGCTACGTTCCGATAGTGAACTCACATTAGAAGGATGGTGTGACTCGGATTGGGCGGCGTGTCCTCTAACTCGTCGTTCTTTGACAGGTTGGCTAGTGTTTCTAGGAAAATCACCGATTTCTTGGAAAACTAAAAAGCAAGATACAGTTTCTAAATCTTCTGCAGAGGCGGAATACAGGTCCATGGCAGGAGTCACTTGCGAGTTAAAGTGGCTTAAGGCTTTATTGTTGAGTTTGGGTGTGTAACATCCTAAAACTATTAAATTATTTTGTGACAGTCAATCGGCATTGCATATTGCAAGGAATCCAGTTTTTCATGAGCGAACTAATCATATAGAAGTTGATTGTCACTTTGTTTGTGATGCGATAAATGAAGGATTAATTACTTTATCTCATGTGTCGATTACTTCTCAATTGGCGGACATTTTTACAAAAGCTCTCAGAAATGGCGCAATTTGATTTTCTTCTATCCAAGTTGGGCATTTTCGAACCTCATGCTCCAACTTATGGGGGATATTGAGATATATCTAAGAGCATATTTGTTTTGGTGAATATTTAGTTTGCCTAGGATATATTTTGTCATAATTATCTTTAGCTTGCTAGCTGTACACTGTTTGGTGAGGGCTTAGGAAACTAAGCATACTTTACACCATTGCTTTCTCTCTCATACGATACACCATCGATCCAACCGGAGTCCATACTACATTCCCAAATTCCTGTAATTTTCTTCAATTAATCTCATATTTTTTCAATTTTATCATCGAAATTTAATTTTTACTTATTGATCAAACGAACCAATTTACGATTATCTGCATCAATTTTATCAATTTCCTAAAATTTGATCGAATTAGGGTTTTTACAGAAGAAAAGATGAATGACGAATTGCCCAATGTGAAAAAGTGGGTGGTATTATACCCAGTATACATCAATTCGAAGAAAACAATTGCTGAAGGTCGCCGAATTTGCGCTACCAAAGCTTGTGAAAATCCTACTTGCGATGAAATTGGAGATTGCTGCAAATTTCTCAATCTTCCTTATCACAAAGAGGTTTGATTTTTGTTTGTAATTTTTGTTTTTCGTATTGAATTTTGGTGTTAATTTTGTCAATTTGTTTGTAATTTTTGGTTTTCGTATTCAATTTTGGTGTTAATTTTGTTGATTTCGTTGAATTTTGTGGTTGATGTATGTGATATTGTAATTGCAGGCTGAGAAGGCGTATCCAAGGGATTTTATGCAGAGAGGGAGGGTGAGAGTATTGCTAAAACAAGAAGATGGGAGTTTATGTAACCCTGAGATTTCGTCGAGTAAGAATTTCTCCATTGTGCCCTTTGTTGATCGTATTTTGGTTGCTTATTGTGTTGTTTTTATAACATAAAATGTGTTTTTTGGTTCGTATATAATTCATTCGTTGCATGTGGAGATCCGGTTGAGAGGGTTTAAGGCTTTAGACTATTGATGGGATCATTCTGCTTAGAAATTATGGTGTTAATATAGAAGTTTAATGACATGATAATCAATTATATTGAATTGGAGAGGGGTGTGACTGGGGTGAGATGGATATTTTTGAAACAGCACTGGTGTGTTTGTGTGTAGAACAGTGGACTTGTTTGAGGATCGGTTTGGTGAAGGTAGATAGTGTATGTCTCGATGCACCCTTAAAGAGCTGAGATTAGAGGTAGATAGTGTATGTCTTGGCTACTGGAGTATATTAGATTTTTGATGATTTTTGTAGGTAAATAGGTATCTGTTCTCAATCTTTTCATCTTCAGTGTGACAGTTCTTTGTTGTACTACTGAGCCATAGATTCAGTGCTCCCGTTCCACCATTCCAAGTTTGAATCTGCTAGGATTCGTTGATGTCATGAGCTTTTGGCCAGTTTAGTTTTAGTGTTTTACCTTTCAAACAAAAATACAATAAGCAAGTGGTGGACTTGGTTTTATGTTCTTTATACCGAAATTTCCTTTCATAGCCTTGGGCAGAGAATAACTGATTTATTGGGTGAAAAAGTGAAGTCCAATGTCTAGGTTCCAATTTAATACACTGTATACCGAGCACTTCTTATGTATTTAACGGAAAAGACTGAATTTGTTGGGCACTGAATTGCATCTGTAAAGACTGTAATCCATCTTATACAATGTGATCAGCTTGACATTTTAGGTTTAAAAAGTCCTAGAGGACATTGGAGGCAAAACTTCTGTTCCTGGGGTTGGAAGTTTAGGGGTAGGCTTACCTCATGTATATATCTCATATTTTCTGATCAACTGCTATTCCTGATATTCTGACCAGCTGCATTGGTTTAAACTTTTGAAGATTGCCCTTGATTTTCAGAAGTAACCACTTTTATATATTATAATGGCATCCTACTACTTTTCATACATAGATGTCCAATGTGAAGTTGTGAACTTATAGCCTTGATCAATTGAGGTTATTAGTATTCCAATTCCAAAAATAACTCTCCTGTATTCCTTTTTGTTCACAAAGAAACTTCCTATTACTTAAAATGAAAACTTAACCTACTCAACCCAAGTGATGTGGACCCTAGCAGCCTTAGTTTTAGAAAGCGAGGCGTTAAGAGCTGGGGCCTTAGCTTTATGAGACGGAAAGACGTACAAAAGGCGTGTGCCTGTGTTTTTTTCTAGGTTGCTTCTTGCGCCATATGTTGACATTCAGACTTACTCAAATACTAGAATAGAGAAAACCTCATATCCCTTAATCCCATTTGAATAACCCTAGATATTTATTACATAGCCCATTCACCTTTTCTCATTATTCAATTTTTAGATTTATACAAATTAAACTAATTAGTTTTTATTATACAAAATATGTTCCTCGCCTACAAAAGGCGTGCGTCTTCACTTTGCGCCTAAGCTCCAATGACTTTTACACTTAGCACAATCTCTTTCTCTCACATATTTTTTGTACATCCCATGTGATGTGGGCTCTATCACCACTAACTATCTCTCAATCAAAATTTTACTCTTATTTCTCCACTATCTAAAAAATAAAACCTATCCCACCCTACTATAACCCTTAATATGCTTGCCTAAACCTAATAGGAAGATTATTTGTGGACAAATGAGTCTCATCAACCCCATCATTTAGCATATATCACCATGAACGTGCTCCATTTTGTAGTATGTATGCTTCATAGTTGTTTAGTCTTAACTTAAACTTGTCCGTGGTCTAGTTTGCTTTTGATATTTGCTATTTCAGCCAGAGCTTTGATATCCAAGAACTTGGTTGACCCCTTTAGTTGCGTTTACAAGTGAAAATGCAACTCTATTCAAATAGTGTTTTACTTGGTGATTGCCATTTCGACTATTCTAGTTCTAGTCTTTACTCTTTAGGACACCTGGCATATCTTGGTCTGAGTTGTATTGGAAGAGTAGACATTGTTTTGAGTTTTGGTTTCCTATTTAATCCCAAACTAGAGTGCTTGGAAATGTCCATGATTTTTGTGCAGTGATTCTTCCTTGGGATCACATGTTCTTTTGATTTTTGAACCCTTTCGCATTTATAATACCTTTGCTTACTCGTCTCTCTTGAGTCTGCATTTGGTCTTTCCCCTACTAAAGGGTATCCTCCTTGGTTCTTTTCATCTGAATATTGGTTTTTATTGTTTGTATCATAACAGGATATATCACCATTAAGATTAACTTTAATGATTAAATAAAAAAATAAAGCCCTGTACTCAGGAAATGTACAACAATAATCCCAATTGTTATGTGTGTTATGGGTGGTGGATAAGGTGTAACCTTTTCCTAAAAAAAAGGAGTAACCTTGAAATGATGTTGCATTTCTTATCAATAATTGCTTAAGTGTGGACATATGTTTCTTAAATAACATTGAAAAAGAGAGAATAATGAGACAAGACTTGAGAGCGCTATTTTGAAGGTCTAGGGGCTCTTTGATGGCCTTAGTTAAGAGGACCATTTGCATGCAGGAGGAATGATATCATTAGCTCTGGTCCACCTTAAGTAGCAGAGATAGTTTTGTTGTGTGAGGTTGTGAGTGCAAGTTAGTGTAAGATGAACCAAAGAAGTGGAACATTTTGTTTTACAGTGCGGATTGTCTTTGTTTGATTGCCTATAATTGGGGTTATATACTTTTTAAAGCGGTAGCAACTACACAGTATAGATCCAAAATTGAGAGGGTAATATGTTTATTAAATTTTCTCTGCGAGAAGATAAGATGGAGGGAGAGGATTGTTAAGGTGCATTCAGCAGGATACTTCTCTCCCATTCATGTTGGCTTTAGGATTATTTGCAGAAAATGGAGATAGATGAAGTGATAAATGTATTTATATATGCACTATCTGATAGATGATTGCAAGTTGTAAAATGATAGAAAGATGATGGAAACTTGGAAAGTTCATGATATGTACTTATCTAGAGCAAGAAAGAAAAATTTACTCATTTCTTATAAACAAATTAGTTTAAAAATAACACTTGATGGAATATAGATAAAAAGTTACGTTTTGGTATTTCTGTAGCCATTTGGAGTGGCGTAGGATTGATGACTGATATCATTCTTTTATGTTGTAATACTCATATCTGCAAGCGTAAGAGGTGGAGTGATGGTTGTACTAACCCTATTGTGTTTTTCCACATCAAGAATATCTCATGTCACAATTTAATCTTTGAGGCATTTTTTTTTAACTCTGTGTCTAACCTAACTATTCTAATCATCTTAATTGATAAACATTGTACAATGGTGTTTGGAGTTTGGTATGTAAGGGTAGTTCCTGATATTTAATAGTTCTTATGCAAGTTATTCCTGTTGATTAGAAAATTTCGTGCTAAATAAAATTAAGCATTGAGTAAGCTAGTGACTTTATTTTCCAAATTCATGTTCAGAATCTCTTGGTTTAAAGGCATGTCATAGATGCATTCCATTGTTTTACATGTGTAAACATTTTTTTGAGATTCTCTTGTACTTTCCTTCTTTTTTTTTCCTTAATATTTTCTATTACCTTGGGAGTAATTTAGTACTCTATGAACAATCTTGTTTAACAGTAGGTTAGATTATCATCTTCATACTCCCCCACACCCCCAAATTAAAGTCCAAATTCACCCAAAATCTAGTTCCTTAAGAAAAGCCTCATTTCTCTACAATTTTTTCTTAGTTCTTTTTAGTCGTCCAATCCTTACATCTTTTCTTATACAATTTTAATCACCCAATCCCTAATATCTTGTTTTTTATATTCACCCAAATTCTTTTCATTCATTTTTAATCAACCAAATCCCTTTTTTTTCATCTTCTTAAAAACATGTGTAGAAAGGCAAGTGAAACTTTTATTTGGGGTGAGCCAAGGAGTATAGAAAATCAAGAATACGTGAACATTGTAAGCACTTGCAAAAGAATCTGATTTGCATTTAAATGGTTTGATGGTTTGGATATGAATGCATTTTGCCATACAAAATCTGTTTCAGCTTTTGACTTTTGCATTAGAGTTATAATCATTTTTGTGCTGATACACGTCAAATTGCTGGACGTTCCAAGTTTAAAAATCAATAATTACCACTATCAAGATGATGTACAAAAATTGCCCTGGTATATTGATACGAACTTAATTAGCTACTCCCGACTTCCCAAGTATGGTCCTGCTGTTGGTGGTTGTGTCTGAGGTTGAGTTCTTGATGAAAGCAATTATCTCACAACTTGCCCAGTAATTATTTGAGTTTTCTGTTTGAAAAGGAAAGCTTCCTGTGTGTTCTGTTGATGTTTTGGATGACAATAGCATGATCTCAAAAACTTTTTTCACCTGTATATATATTTGGTTTAATGACCAAATAATATTTGCTTTGGAAGATTAGTATACAATATACAGTATGCTGGACTGTACTGTACTGTTTAAACTTTCGACATCTATTGGCTTAGCCTTAGAGCCTTTCCTCTTCCTTCACTAATGTGAATTTATTGTTCTTTCTGATTATTCAATCCACTATTCAATCCTATTTACTTTATTTTTTTTTTTTTTTTTTTGAACTAAGGTATTCGATTTTCTTGTATAAAAGTTAGGAGCACTCTTTCTCCATTCTCCTCCCTCTGCTATTAAACTGCTATGCCCTGACATGGGTCACAATGCCAAAGTGATTTTGTTGAATGATAAAAAAATGTAGGGAATACGTATTTTTGTACCTTGTAGAGGGAAACTATGCTGGGTGGAAGAATGCTTTTAATGAAATTTCGTCTCCCATGTGCAGTGTTACCTATATTCTTGCTGCAACATATTGATTATATTTACGTTGGTATTACAAATGTAATTTTTTTCAGTGACTTATTATCTTCACTTTTTGACTGCCACTATACAGGAAAGCATCTGATGCTGAAAATTGCAGAAATGGTACCTCGTCATATTGGAAGAACTACAAAGAAGCAAGAATCAACTTCTAGCTCTAGTAATGCACCTGCAAAATCTGGCAAGGGTGGGAAAAAGAAAAAATAGATCTGATTTATTGCTTCACCAATCCTTCTTGTTCAACTTCACATTAGAAAATGAACTGTAAATTGCCAGTTCATATGTGACGAGTATTAGAAGCATTGTGTTAAATGTCCGGTGATGAAATTCCAGCTGATCTTTGCCATGTCTTTTGCTTATCACGGATCATTTCTGCTAGGCTTTTAGCCAATCACAAGAGCTCAATCTTGTCCAGAAATTTTTTCTATATACATGTTTGGTTTTTCTGTCAGGGAAGTTCTGTTTTACTTTTGGTGATCTATTTTGAGTTTTTCGCATTCCTAATATGGAGATCATAGTAAGAGTACGAGTAACAGAAGGTGGATCTTTTGAGAAAGTATTGCATAATAATGTAATAACCTCAATGATTTGATGCATTCAATCCAAATGTTTAAATTATCATCATCATCTTTAAGTTACCAAGTCAGAATGATCCACTCGTCCAACTATGTACCACCCCTCAGACAGGGGATCGGACGAGAGAAAATAACAATGGCGCAATGCTGCTAGCCTTCTTGTGTCGTGTGAGTTGGGAGTGATCTGGGTTTAGACCATTTATATACACCAACATGTCAACTTCATCATCTACAGTCTTGTGTTACCGATCACTTGAAACTCATAACTTGGCATATTTTCGAAGATGTTTGTCTGCATCCTTTGCATGTTCTGGCACAGGAAGGTTGCAAATCAGAGTTACACGGGAAGATGATACCAAGGATTTGCTCTCTGAGTTGTTGGGGTTTGTTTTCCATAGTTGCACTTCCCACACCTGAACAAATGCGACATATTCACCATTAGTTACTCTTGCACATTGCAGTCAGTGCGTGACTCCGTGTCATTTTCATTTTAACTTTTACATTATTTATATACATTACTTAGACCATTATTAATAATTGTATATAACTAAAAACAATCACTTATAGAACGTTTTTCATTTGTCTAAAATTTTACAGTTAACTAATCTAAAAAGCTCTACTTTTCAACTTTTTACAAATTAGCTAGTTGAGGTCAATCAACTCGTTAAAAAAGCTCTTTTACCGAACAACCAAAATACTCTGTAGCTTTTATGTGGATTCAAGCAATTAAACCTCTAAACTAGTTAAATTAACACAAATTTTTTCAAAATTCTTCCCAAAAAGATGTGTCATCCTTTTTCCACAATTTTTTATCAAGGATGATTGGTTCAGCCACTTCAAGGAACTCCAAAGTTGTTTCACAAAAACATTAAACACCCTCCAAAATATCAGAAGGGCACTTGGTAATTGTACTTGTATACCCCACTTGATCATCTTCAACTCCAATCGTACTACCATTTATACCGTACATAGGTTTCAACTAAACATTATTGCTAAATAAATGAGAATGTTACATTTGCATTATACAATTGGTTGTACCATATATGATAATCTACGTATGAGGCTATGGCATGTCGGTAGCCTAAGGAAGATGATCCATCAATCTTTAATTAGTTTTCATCATTTTTATTTGCACGTTACTAATAACAAACAAAAAATCGTGTACACAAATACATTAGTCACTTTCGTTGCTTGGAAGATGCTAGCAAGTCAATAATTATTCCCACACCTAACCTCAAATTCTCAATTGGTAGATGAGGATGGACTTAGTGGACCTCCTAAATTTTCCCATCCTAGTTAAAGTTCAACGTTTTTTTTATCCTATAATAAAGACTTAATTAAAAAGGGTGGTAGTATGGTAGGTGGAATTTTGCCTCTTACTAAAATGTATCTAAATCAATAAATCAACATCTATCACAAAATATAATTATACTTTACTATGAAAGTGTTAAGAATTTCTTGATACATCAACATCTTATACTAATATTCACCTAATTGTCCACCGCCCTCAAAATATTAATTTTAACACTTTGTACAGGTAAGAACTTTAGATAGACAGGATGATATTCCCATCATTTTAAGTTTTTGAATGAGAGATAGGAGGTTGGATTAGTTTACTAGTTTTTTGACTTTTAGATGTGAGGCAAAGGTTAAATTTCACTGAGTTATTTTGCTAGAAAGTAAATCAACCCCCCTACCCTCTAGGATGGGCCTTCTCGCCATAAAAAAAAAAAAGAAGAAAAAAAAATCAAATTATTGTGACTATAAAACAAATTATAATTATTGTGAATTTGTGATAAGAGTTTGTTTCATGTAATCATACGGTATAAAACTTGGTTCAAAAGGTCACAAGGACAATAACTAAAGCATAAATAAAAGAAACAAAAGCATAAGAAAGACCTGAATGGTACGGCCAAGTGTGATGGGAACGGCCTCCGCAAGAACAAGGTCACCTAGCTCAGCCCGCTTCACATGGTTTATGCTAAGGTGGATTCCAGCCACTCGCTTTAGCCCACTTGCTAGATGTGCTCCCATACTCGCCAATGATTCTGATATCAACGCCGATACTCCTCCATGTAACACCTTGAATGGCTGCGTATCCATTAATCATTAAAGATTATTACTAACATATTAAAACTTATCTGAAATTATTAACCTTACAAGATTACTAATGACAGTACTCATACAATATCATGCTAGAAAGTAACAAATAATTGAATAAGTACTTGTACATTATTAAGTTTGTACCTCACATTAAAGTAACAAGTAATATTCCCCAACTTGTCAAAGTAATACTGTATCAGTAATGCTCAAGTGCTGCATCAAAGTTTCTAGATATACATTTGACATATTTGTAAACAATTTACTAATACGAGTAAGTAATTTCAAGTGGAGAGTAATTATAAAATCATTTAGAGCATGTTTGGTTAGTGTATTTTTTGGATTGGAAACGGATTCGATTAAACCGATACCGTTACCGAGTGTTTGATTAGAAGGTTTGGTAATAATTATCGTGACTTAAGGGTAATGGTTACCTCTCATTTGTTACCTCTCAAAAACTTAGGGTAATAAATACCCTTACCCTCCTCAAACACAAACAAAGGAAGTAAAGTTTAACCGAATCCTTTCCATGGTCAAACCAAACAAATGAAAAGATAATAATTAAATGATTTATTTCCCTCTTCTTATTTATTTTCTTTCCATTATCCGAACCAAACCCCTCCTTAGTAATACTGTATAAAATAAAAACTTATTTGCATTTTGCACATGTTTTTTAAAAGATGAATAAAACAAAAATAATGAGATGATAGAATTTGAGTAATTATGAATGTTTTTACCGTGGTTTTTTGAAATATGACTACCATAATATTAAATAAATAAATTAATTTAATTAAAAATTATAATAAAATGAATTAAAAATTTTGAGTAGATAAGATGAAATGTGACTTTTATTTAAAATTTAGAAATATGACTTTCTGGATAAAATGAAATTTTACCGGAATAGTACCTATTTTTTTTTAACCTACAGGAGTAGTACTTGGGACTAAGTTTTTTTGGGTGAAATAAGACCATATTATGAATGATTAATTTATGACGAGGAGAGAGTGAATATATGTTTCAAAAAAAAAAAATATGACGAGGACAGTATGATATTTATTTTCATAAAGGTTTATATCACATCTCCTTAAAAATTCTTTGGTAGCTCAGTTTGCCCATATTATGAGACGGAGTATTTTAGGCCACAAAAGAAATTAAGATAAAAAAAAAATTAAAAAAAAAACACAATAAAAACAAAAGATTGCTAGTTTTTTTTTTTTTGGTTGAAGAGAACATGATATAATTTTGGACCAAAGAATCAACCAATTAAATATCAGCTAATAAATTATTATTAATAAAATAAATATAAACCCAAAATGCAACAAACTAAAAATAGTTGGAAATCTACTTGGTAAGAATTACAGAACTATAGTATTACGATGTTACGTACCAATTTCTTAACCAAAGTAAATAAAAAGTAGCAACTTTTTTAGGACAGATATAGCAGATAAGAAAGTAACAGCTGAATTATTGCTGAAACTGTGACACTTCTAATTTAGCCAATCTTTGTACATTGTACTTTACTATGAACTCTACAAAATCATCATCAAATTCATCCACAAAACAAATCAACAAAAAAATTGCAAGGAAATTAAAGTTACCTGGCAACATTTGTAGGTGACTAGAAGACGTCCGGTGACTTTAGCGGGAGACACTTCGTCGATTTCGAACCCGATTGCGTGGAGTGGAAAGTCAAGCTCTTCCGTCTTCGAAGAAGAAGGTGGTTGGTATTCCATTTGGTTTTTTCAGCGTTGGCCAACTTTGGAACCTTTTGCTTTTGATTATTTATTGTAGATAGAAATTGTTATAAAAATATAGTGTTATTATGTTGTGGGTGTCAATGTGTCATGGATGTGATGGAAGTTTTTTTTGGTATATTGTGTGTTTTTTGTTTGGTGCATCTTTTTCGGTAAATGTATATTATCCTAACTTTCTTGTAATTTTGTATAGTTGTAGACTTGTAGGTATGTAACTCGGCCAATGCTTTGGGTTTAATAATTTTTAAGTAACTTGACTGATTCTTCTAAAGTTTAAATGTCAAAGTATTTGAACCACAGTATGAATGGGTTGTTCAAAAAAAATATATTATCAATGATTTGTCCTATATCTCATTTTAAGGTCATCCCTAAAAGATTGGTTCATTCAATTTAGGCGCGCTTGTGGTTAAGTGGGATTTCAATGGAGTTTAAATCATCTTTTTGTGGTGGTTGTAGAGAAGTTTGGGGGAGGGATGAATTTGTCCACTTGTAGGGGCATAGGGAGTGACTAAACACGTTTATCAAACTATAAATATGGGAATTAAGGTAGTTGAGAACTTAGCATCGTTAGGTATAAAATAATACTGAGTACAAACTCATGTATCCATTCGTTGTACTCCATGCCAATATATATACTTTAGTTATACCAAGTATAAGATGACTATTTGACAGTGTTATTTTCTTTTTACGTGTAGTAGTATATTGTCTACTCCATCAGTAGCGTTAAATTTGTTCATCATCTTATTATTAGTTCAGTTTTTCAGTTGAGATTTGGACATTTATTCAAAATCTCTCAATATAAAGAGGTGCGATGTGACTATGTGAGATAATAGAGGTTGTATTGCTAAGAAATTGACTAGAAGAGATCAATTAGGATTTAGGAACAACATTTAGTTGATTGCGTTTACTGAAACTGTCTATTGCATACGAAGACAAAGGAATAATGAATGTTTGGTAAAGCTTTGTTGATCAATCAAGCTACTAAGGAGATATCTTTAAAATTTCTTGTAGAGTTTAGTGAAGTGAAAAACGATTGTTACCGATGTAAATTGTACATGATGGATTGTCTTTCACCCATTGTAATGCAATCTTGTTAGTAGTACGAGCTATAATGATATTACACATAAGTATGTAACTGACCTTTAGCGATATAGAGTTCATTGGCTTGTTTGTATTTTTGCACCAATAAGATTAAGGTCTTGTATAATAAAGTGTTTTTTGAAAAGATTTTAGCTTATCGAACACTATTAAAAATTTGACCATTTTAAAAATTCAATTTTGGTGTCTGGTAAATAGCTTATTAAAAGAGTTTTTTGAGGTCAAAAAGATCTTTAGAAAAAACTATTATAAGAGCTTTTTTAAATTAGCTTATTGAACAATTAACTTTTTGAATATTAAATACATTGAAACAACTAACAATAAATAGTTATTTACCAAACATTTTTACACAATCAGCTATCTACAACCAACTAGTCAAATAATCTAATATAACCAGGTAGTCAAACCAATTAATACAATTAGCTATATCAACCAACTAACAACTAATTACCATACAGGGCATTTGACGATCACAACGGGAGTACATAATTACTGTAGTTCTCAAATCTTCCATCTTTATTGCCCCCATAAATCCATAATCAACTTTCGGAAACATTATGGCACCATTAAGATCCACTAGGAATAATAATTAGGATAATAACATAATTGGTCCATCTAATTTAAGTTTATTTCTGAAAATCAACCTGAAATAATGATAGCCATAGCAGAAAGTCCTATGATCCAAACGTTAATTATCAACTTCCATTTCTTTGGCCTCTGCTACGTATTCTATAAGTGTATTGCGAAATGTCTTACTAGTCGGCTTTGTTTGGTCTTTCCGAGTCTAGTAGATGATTTTCAGAATGCTTTTGTCCCTAGTCGCCTGTTATCTGATAACGCTTTGGTTGCTCATGAAGTAATTTCTTTCATGAACAAATCAAAAGCGAAGAAGAGATTTTTCGCGGCCATTAAGTTGGATATGAACAAGGCTTATAATCGAGTTTGTTGGGATTTCTTATTTACGATTTTAGAGGTTTATGGTTTCCCTCCTTACTGGATTCACATTATTCGACAGTGTGTTTCCACCGTTTCTTATCAGGTGTTGGTTAATGGTAATCCTTCCACGACTTTTCAGCCTTAGTGTGGTCTTCGTCAGGGTGATCCTCTTTCCTCTTATCTTTTTGTTTTATGCATGGAAGTTCTTTCGGCCATGCTTCGGAAGGCGGAAAAAGGGAATCTCTCATTCAGGGAATAAGTATCGCTAGGGGTTCACCTTCAATTTCTCATTTGTTCTTTGCAAACGACTCGTTGTTGTTTTTGCAAGTCTCTCCTACCATTTGCGACAACCTAATGTCATTACTTTTTGATTTCTATGGTTTGTCGAGAAAAGTGATTAATTTACAGAAGTCGTTGGTTAAGTTCAGTTCAAATACTCCTGATGATTATAAGGATTATCTTTCTCACAATCTACACCTTTAGTGAAAACTTCTCTAGGCTCCAATTTAGGACTTCCGGTGGAGTTAAGTCGAAGTAAAGTCTCTGACTTTAGTTTTCTGATTGATAAGGTTGTTAAGCGTCTTTCTGATTTTGCAGCTTTAGGCTTTTCCTCGGCAGCGAAATTAGTAATCCTTAATTCGATATTGGTAGCCTCGTTCAATCATATCTCTTGTCAGTTTTCAAGGTTTCAGCTTTAGCCTGCTCCAAGGTAGAATTTCTGTTAGCAAGGTTTTGGTGGAAATCTGAATCTTCCTCTCGAGGGTTGGCGTTACGTCCAAAGTCGCTTCTTCATTTGCCTAAAGGTTTGGGTGGTCTGGGTATTCATGATTTGGAAAGTTTCGCATGTTGCTCTTCTTTCCCGCCAGTGTTGGTGCATACATCATCATCCTCAGCTTTTGGTTTCGAGGTTATTTTTAGCAAATTACCCTTCCCTTCGGTCTTTTTGTATCGTTCCTCGTTCCTCCTAGACTTGTCGTAGCCTTCTTACAAGTTTGTCTTCTCTCTCTGGCGGTATTGCTTGGAAGGTTGGTTCTGGTTCTCGGGTTCGGATTCTTGAAGATAATTGGGTTCCTGGGGATCCAATTGCCTTTAGGGAGGTTCCGGGTGTGTCGGTTCTACCGTCACATGTTTCTTCTATCATTGATCCGCATTCTTACGCGTGGGACTCGACTTCCGTTCATCGTCTCTTTGATTCGTCGTCGGCGCTCTGCATTTTGGCCTTGGAGCGCCCACGCCAGTCGATGGACGATTTTGTCTACTAGAAGTTTTCTAGGGATGGAAACTTTTCCACGAAATCAACTTATGCTATGTTTCTAAGTCAATCACTAACTTTTACACCAACACCTATCATTCCACCTTTCTGATGGAAGCAGTTATGGGGTTTGCATCTTCTTTTGAAGCTTTAGTGATTTTGTTGGGAATTACTTAACAACGCTTTACCTCTTTTGGGAAATCTGCAACTTTGGGGATTGCCTGTAAATTCTATTTGTGTGTTTTATCATCAGGCACAAGATATTTCAGCTCATTTATTTCGTGACTACGCCTTTACCTCTTCTCTTTGGTCTCTGCTTCGACTTCTTTCACACCTCCTCTTTTACTTCATAAGCCCTTTCTGGCCTGGTTTGTTGATTTAATCTCTGATCTTCGTACCTCGAAAAATTGGGATGTTCTGGTTTCCTTTATCTGCTTTTGTTGGGCCATTTGGCTTGAGCGTAATTATAAGATCTTTAGAAGTGCAGTGGTGTCTCCAGCTATGATTTTCCATTTGGCAAAGGAATGGACTGCTAGAAGTGCTTTGGTGCGAGAATTTAGAAGTTGAGTGTTTTCTTCTGGGAGCATTCTTCATTATAGGTATGATACAATTGCTGATTGTTGCCTACAGGGTTCCTCTTCTTCTGGTTTTGATGTCTGCATTATTTTTTATGGAGCGTAGAACTCTCGGAATTCCCATGCAGGAGCAGACTGGATTTTTAGAGATGTGTGTTCACCCTTGGTTTTAGGAGGTTGTTCCAAAGCTTGCCTTTCCTCTTTTTCTATTTAGTCAGAGCTACTGACTTGTTTATGGACCCTACGGGCAGCTGATCGTTGGGGTTTTTGTCGTCTTTTGGTCTACACTGACAGCTCGACCCTTTTTTCTTTCTTGCAACCGCAACGTGATGGGGATGTCTCTTGCCAGTGGATTCTTCAAGATATTCGATCTTCGTTTCAGCGTTTCCCTGCTTGCGTGATCCGTAAGGTGCCACGTTCCCCGGTTGTCCCAGCTCATTAACTAGTTGTTCAAGCTCGTCGTAGACATTTGCGTTTTGGTCTTTTTAGTTTATGGTTTTATCGTTATGTCTTGTTTTTCTTTTCTAGAGCTTCTTGTCAAAAAAAAAAAAAAAAAAAAAAAAAACCTTCCATTTCTTTAGTATACCCCACAAAGTTAAGCAAAATTGGTTGAATTCCTGAATATTGTTTGTAATCTTCTTTTTTTTTCATGGGGTTGGGCTATTATTTTGGGTTTTGATATAATTTTGGGCCTAGTTTTAGGAGGATAGTAGTAAACTCTAATTTAGTTCTATTTTATTGAATTTTAATCAGTTGGGTACTAATTCAATTTGGTTGGGATTGGATTTCAATTTTATTTTTTTTTGTGTTCCATTTGGTTCACCCTTTCGAGGCTCAATTCTGGATGGTTAGGTTTCAATCCCTTCCAAATTCCCAATTGTTGTTGTGAGGGATCGAACACGCGGTTCTCACTACCAAGTACAGCTCCAATTGCCATTGCACCAACATTTAATTGGTGGACTTATTTTTATCCGAGTATACGTATCACACTTAGTTCTGCTATTGTTTCATTTTAGCAATTGAAGAACTGATTACTTAGAAATTGATTTTTCCTTGCAAACAAAAAAAAATGTACACAAACCAAATTCTTTTACAAAAAACGGAATACTGATTGAAAATCATACGACGAGTGTATTTTGATTATGCACTTCTACATAATTATTGATAAAAAGATTTAACAGAATGCAGAATCGCAGAGGATAAAAATCAGGACAAGGTCATAACAACTTGCTAGCCCAATCATTCTTTTCTTTACATGAAAACATCCAAACCTGAGTATTTATCTTAAAACTGAAATTATACACATTTTTTCTACCCAATAATAAAAGAAAAAAAAGAACAAAGAAACACTGAAAATTTGCATGATCTTGTAAAATTGGCAATGTAAAATGTATGTGCATTTTTCTCTCAGTCCTGCTGCTAATTCAATCACAAATAAGAGAGTAAAACATTAACTGCAAGACCACCATTCTTTGCAATGTCAAAACCTACAATTTTGCATATTTGCGAAAAGGTTTTGAAGCCTCTTTTAGATGGTTGGGTACAGGGAGGTTGCAAACAAGAGTAACCCTGGCTGATGATATTATGTGATCCTTCTTCATACTCGTCTCATCGGCGTTCCATAATCTTACCTCCCAAACCTGTCAATAACCAACATTTCAATGAGATAAATCTTAGGTGAATGTGTAACTATCTCGCCCTTATGATTTTACACAACCTATATAGTAACTTCTAACGCGGTCCATTGTAAGCTTTTTGTAACCTCATAGAGTCATAGAAACAACTAATTGTATAAGAACGTCTCATATAAAATTTTGTCTTTCATTGTAAACAAGCTAGTATGGGTTCGTTTTGAGTCTGGTTAGTTTGGGCTGGGGCCGCTGGGCTCCACTAAGTATGGGAGATTTTGTAATCAGTAGGTCATAAGTGTGTAACAAATTAAAGAACAAGTGGTACTTAAGACAAAACCTTTCTTTTGAAGTGTCAATCCCTTTCTCAAAACTTAATTCATATGGTCCTAAACAAGTACTCCCTCCTACCACGAAACTCTTCCCAACTACTTGTACTAATCTAAGGAAAATGAATAAAGTAATATAAGCGGTTACTTGCACGTGTAATAAAAAGACTAGCCTCATAAAATGGGTCAAGTAGGGTGGAATAATAGAATTTCTTTGACAAATCAAATGCGAGTAGAACTTAAAAATGTTTTAAAACAAAAAGTTGGAAAATCTTAGTAAAACAGAAATAGTATTGAATTCCCTAATTTATAAACAATCCTGTTATGTTAATTAATTGTGAAACACAGGGGCGGGGAGGTGTCTATATCACTCACCTTATAGATGACATGATCCAAATGACAAATCGCTTTCATTTATCACTTGGGGCTAGTTTGGTTGACAAAAAAAAAAATGAGGAAAGTGAAAAATCTTGGGATTTTGTAATTTGGGTAGTTGTTAGGTTGGCACAAAAAACAAAAATAGGGGAAGTTGAAAATCACGAGAATTTTTACTTCCTACAAAACATAAGAAGTAAATTACCTAGGCCCTCCTAGGTCAATCAAAATTCATGGGAATTCTAATTTCCCATTGTCACAACCAAATAAGTTAAAGAAATTTCTAGGAATTTCATTTGGGAAATAATTTCCCATGAAATATAACTTCCTATGGGAATTTATTTCCCTTATCAACCAAACAAGGTCTTAGTTAAGTGGGCTACACCCGTGACTAGGTTTAGAAGCCATCATGCCATACCACACTAATTAAAGATGAGAAAGCATCATCTTATCTTGATATATGGCTGAAGATAATGTCCAAGCACCATACCATATTACTAGTAGTTGGGCTTACCTACCTATTTAAGAATAATTGTGTCTTTTCTTTGGTGTTTTATGATTTGAGCCATTTTTAACAACAAAAGCCAAGACTGTCAAGCCTGAGAGATCGAGAGGCGGTCGTGAATGAACAATGAATTCTTGACTTAGTGGCAAAGATTGAAAAATTGTATATAATACGAAGTAAGTTACATCTTCAAACCTCTCTTCCTCCATTTGTAATATGTAATGCTATTATGGTTCATTTGGGCCATAAAGAAAGTTAAAAGTTGCTTCAAAAATGAATTAGATTATAGTCAATAAGTTGATGTATCAACACCTAACAATTCTCCTAAATAAAAGTAATTTATGACTTATTAAATTATTAGTAGTAGTTGAATTAAGTTAATAGGTCAATGGAGTAAATCGTGGGGCATGTTTAATTACCCACCTAGCTTTAGTTTTCTAATGTTCATGGCTTTACTAAGGCTATTAAGGCACATGCTAGTTACTATTTACTGTTTAGGCTTAATAGCGTTCTTTTTCAACTAAAAGTTAGGCATTAAATGTAATCCATATAAATGTAATAAATACATTGAAAGTGTGTTTTCTAAGTCATAATTTCTCTATATTTTGCTTAATATCTCCAATAAATACGGAGTATTAGCAATCCACCAAGAAAATTAGGCTCTTTAAACACACCACATGCTAATGATAAGGGTATCCATACACTTTTGACTATCCTTTATCCTTTGAAAATTCAAAATTCTTCAAACCCCTATCAAAAAACTACTCAACCTAATTTAGTATTGTTGCATACTTCTTGAATTTCTTTTCATTTATTATAATACTAGGAGTTTTATGCTTATCAGTGTAGATCTTATGTGGATATTGATTACTCCCTCTTTTTTTTTAGTGTTACATCACTTACATGCACTTTAATCAACAAATAATTTTATACACTTTCATTGACTTTAATGTAATAAGCGATAAATGGAATATTCGGAGTTTAAAAAACGAATTTTTCACCATACACCCATGAGTAATTTTTTTATTCACCATAAATCCGTGAAAATTTTCAAATTCACCATATACACTTGAGTTTCACAAAATTGTCACAAATTGCCCTTAATGACTCACGACAGTTAATTTCGTTTGTCATTAGAATTAAGTATGCCACGTGGCGCCATCTTATTGGTTATTTAAAATTATTTTTTTTTAATATTTTAAAAAAAAACTAAAAAAAAATTCAAAAAAAAAAAAGAAGAAAACCACCTCCAGCCACCTTCCGCCAACACTAGGCCACCTCCCCACCACCGCCACCAAGCCCAGCCTAGCCTCCCTGCCGCCGGTGACTAGATTCCCCTCCCCACCGCGCCGGCACCGCCCCTTCCCCCAGCCACGTGTCGATGCCCCCACTTCCCCTTAACCACCATACCCCCTCTCCCTTGCCTTAAACCATAAAAACCTCTCCCCGCCTTTCCACCTTCACCGAAAACTAACCACCACCCCGAAACCCTTTCGCTAGCAGCCAGACCCCTTCCCCTACGTCGCTGCCGCCTACCTTAGCCAAAAATCACCACCCCGAAATCCTAAAACCCCAAAATCAAAAACCTAGATTTTGATTTTAGGGTTTTTTATTTTAGGGTTCCCGCGTGGTGGTTCGGGGTGAAGATGGAAAGGGGAGGGGCGATTTAGGTTCGTCGGCATAGGGTAGGGAGGGTTTTTCGAGGGAGAAAGGAGGTTTTGAGGATTGGGGAAAAGGTGGTTTAGAGGAATGAAAGGGTACCGGCACTGGGTAGCTGGGGTGGGTCGTCGGCGTGGGGGTTCAGAGGAAAAGTCGCGCTGGCGCGGGGTGACGGGGACAGGGTGGTGGTTGGGGGTTCGGCGTTAGTTGGGTTGTGGTGGGTTGGTTTTTTTTATAATGAATTAAATAATTATTTTAAAATTTAATTAATTTAAAAGACAACCAATAAGATACAGCCACGTGGCATACTTTACTCTAATGACTAACGAAGTTAACGTCCCTTAGTCATTTGGGCATTTGGTGACATTATTGGGAAACTCAAATGTATATGATGAATTTAAAAAATTTTATAAGTATATGGTGAATAAAAAATTAACTCAAGATTATTTGGTGAAAAATCCATTTTAAAAAATGACCGAAATAACTAAATGAACTAAAAATCCAAAAAGTACAAAGTTTCAATACTGTAGACCCACCTAATTGACGTTGAAAAAACATATCCTAGTCTAACACTTTTTTTTTATAACATATCCTAGTCTAACATTAAAACTCTAAAAGTCTAAGATGATGTTTTGTACTTCTCTACTAGCTAGACTACTACACAACCAATAAACAATTTAGAATTGACAATAGAGGTCAGGATAATTGAAATCATGAGTTGTCATCTTGTTATCCAAATAGTAAGCCGTTAAATACTTAGTTTAATGTATAATACACCTAGCTTTAAGTACACCCAAGTGTTTAAGATGTACGTGTACTCTATATCAGACGAAATCAAAATTTTGGAAATACAGGAACATAAATTTAACTAGTTTCTTCGTTTTTTGTTGTATTATTTTGGCCTTGTTTAGCAAATGGCTGTTGGTGGTTGATGATTGGCTGGTTTACTTAGCTTGTTTGAGTGTTTGACCAGTTGGAATGTTTGGTTGTTTATAATGGCTTTTGAAATTGGCTGTTTAAGCCAGTTGTTTATAGAAGTGTTTGGTAAATTTAATTGTTGGCTGTTAGCTTACTATTAGATAATTTGTGGGCCAACAAGCCAAAAGCCAAAAAAAAAAGCTACTCAAAGCAGCTTTTTCATTTTGGCTTAAAAGCCATCTTTTTCGTTGACCGAAAAGCCAATTATCAAACACTTTTTTGGGTTGTTTGACCACATAAAAAAGCCAAAAGCTAATAAAAAAACCACCAAAAAAAACCATTTACCAAACATGGCATTTGGTTTTCCCGGACTCCTAGACATTTTTGGAGTATAGAGGGATTAAAAGAAACAAAATTAATAAATTGAGCCCAAATACTACCTCCATTAACTTTTAATTGCAACAAAGGGGTAATTTTTGTGAGATATAAAATATTGCAACTAAATATTAACGAAGGTTGTATAATTTTTTTTTTTGGAAAAAATACACTTTAATAATCCCAACTATGGGCAATTTACTTTTAATAATCCCAACTAAGGTTCATTTAATAATCCCAATAACTATGCTATCAGTTTGCCTCTAATGGTCCCACTAACTGATAACCCGCTGAATAGTTTTTTTTTTTTTTTTTTTTTGGTTTTAATAGGCACGTGTCAACACGTGATTAGTCCAAAAATTAAAAAAATATAAAAAAAAAACATTAAAAAAAACAAAAAAAATCCCAGCCACCCTTAGCCACCGTCAAACCCTAACCTTATCGAAATCCGGCCGGCCACCTCTCCTTAACCACCTAAACCGGCCGGCGAGCCCCTTTGACCCACCCCCGATCCCTGAAACCACCTCCCTGCTAAGACAACAAAAACTCAAAATTCCGGAGACGATAAGTCACCGAAGCTGCCTAGGACTTCGCCGCTACTCCGAAGCCGTTGCAAAAGAACACGCTCAACGTCACACCACCTTCTACCTCATCTTCAACCTCCAGACCTAATCCACGCCTGCGACGACCTTTAAGGTGGTCGATTTCGAGGTTCACCTCGCTAGAAATCGCATCCTTTAAGGTGGTTTTGGGGGTCAGAGAGGGCTAGCTGGGCGGTTTCAGGGGTCGATGATGGGTGGTAGAGGCCAGCCAACCATTTTCTGTGGTTAGCCGGTCAGTTTTCGGCGAGATTGAGGGTTGGGGTTAGGGTTCCGACAAGGTTAGGGGCCGGGGTGGAGGTGGGGGGAGAGGGTGGCTGGGATTTTGGGTTTTTTTTTATGTTTTTTAATTGTTTTAAAAATTTGAACTAATCACGTGTTGACACGTGTCATGGTCTCCTGTTATAACACATTATTAACTCATCGTTGACCAGTTAGGATTATTGGAGGCAAACTGACCCCATAATTAGGATTATTAGAAAATAAACCTTAGTTGGGATTATTAGAAGTAAATTACCCATATTTGGGATTATTAAAGTGTATTTTTCCTTTTTTTTAACATAAGGAGAAGGCCCTTCCAGACCAGAGCCTCTCACAAGCGGAGCCCAAGTGACATGGAGTAACGGAGATACTCCTAATTTAGTAGGAAGGGGAAAGACAATTCATAAATACTCCGTAACACTTACTCTTATTGTCCTAGTTAATGTACTAGCTCCGTATATAGAAAGATTAATTATACCAATTAATGCATAATTTTGACATAAATGAATGGATTTGATAATCGAAAGTTACCTGAATTGTGCGACCAGAGCTGAGAGGGGTTGCTTGAGCAAAAACAAGATCACCAACTTGAGCACTCCTCATGTGGTCGATGCTTAAATGGATTCCAGCCACTCTTTTCATCCCACATGCCAAATACGCCCCTATACTCGCCAGCGCCTCCGATATCAATGCCGATACTCCTCCATGTAACACCTTGAACGGCTGTCCCAGTATTTCATTAGATTTAACATATAATTTTATAATATTAACATTTATAATTTTGTAAATACGTAATCTATGGCCTTATTTGGTTGACAACATAAAATAGGAGAAGTGGAAATTCATGAGATTTGATAAATTGAGGAGTTATTTGGTTGACACAAAAAAGCAAAAATGAGAAAAGTGGAAATTCATGGGAATTTCAATTTCCCACAAAATAAGGGAAGTAAATTACCTAACCCCCCAGGTCAATCAAAATTCGTGGGATTTTTAAATTCCCACGTTGCCAACTAAACAAATTTAGGAAATTCTTAGGAATTTCATTAGGGAAATAACTTCCCATGAAATGCAATTTCCTATGGGAATTTAATTCACATGTCAACCAAACAAGGTCTATAACTAATACTAAAGTAATTACCGCTAGCATCATCACTTTCATGTGGCAGCTTCTTATAATAAATTTTCCCTCCAAAAATATTATTGACATCATTTAAAAAATAAAAAATAAAAAAAAATGGTAAAGCTAATATTTGAAAATGATTGATTTATTATGTCCTTCATTCTAGCTCAATTAATCTAACTAGAGAGACCACGGTTTGTTATGTTTTGCTTAAAATATTTATATTACACACAAGAAATTTTTTATTATTAAAATCGTGCATCACACGGAACTGACCTATTTAAATAATATATTAATGGTCAAAATAACATATACTCTCTTCATTTTTTTAATTGCTATTTTTGTCCATTCTTTTCTAAAAGTTACACTTCCCCTTTTGAAAACCTTTACCTATTGATGGGAAATTATTTTGACACACCAAATATGATTTTGGCACACCTCTATGTAAAACACAGTTTTCTATGCTCTTCTCATATGAGGGTGTGCCAAAATTAGTTAAGGGTGTGCCAAAATCAATTTCTCATTGATGGTGCGGATGCCCACTCACTTTTATCATTTCTCACTCCTCCAATAAGACAATAATCTCCACTCCTTCTTACACCACTTTACTTTAAAATAAAATAATAAACCACTATCTATACATACTCACAATTTTTTACTCCGTATAACCTAGTCTACCTCACTGACATCTTATTTTATTAGATTTCCTAAAACTCTGTGCAATCTCTACTCTAACTAAAAAAAAAAAAAGGAGTACCATAACTTATATTTTGGAATGAATAAAGATGTACTCTGTATAATAATTTTATCGGAAGAAAAAATAAAAACCAAAAAGATTTGCGTTTTGAATACGGTATTATAACCTGAGATGAAGACTTGAAAATTACATAATAGACCTGGATGTACCATGTTAATGAAAACTTTTTTTTTTTTGAATAATGTTAATGAAGACTTGTACGAAAACGAAAAACAAAAATCCCAATTCCATAAAAATTAAAAAAATAGTAATAAAAAAAAATACTTATACTGAATGTGAATGTAAAGAGGGATGCATGTAAAGTTTGTAAGGAGAAAAATAAAAATAATTTTCGTAACAATTCTAAACTTTAACTTTTGAAATAATAAAATAATGTTACAATTAATAAAGAATGGAACTTTAAGAATTGACGGGAGGAAAAAAGAGGTAAATCAACCTGGCAACATTTAGGGGTGACTACGAGGTGGCCGGAAACACAAGAAGGCGACAACTCATCGATTTCGAACCCGATAGTGTGGAGTGGAGAGTCAAGCTCAGCCGTCTTGTTGGTGTTTTTGAGGTCGGGAACAGCGGATGAAGGCGGTTGTTGCGGCGGATTTTCCATAGACAATATATCTAGATGTTTTTGTGACTTCGTTTATTGTATATTTAATCCTATGATTTTAGTTACAATTGTTTGACAAAACTAGGAAGTTGGAACCACTAAATATGAGAGGGAGAGGGAGAGGGAGAGGGAGAGGGATGTATGTTACGAGAGTATATATGGTCAATATGGAGAGAGAAAGTGGTGACAAAGTGCGTGCAATGTATCTCACATTAGTCACTTACTAACTAACATATTACGTCTAGGACCTAAGACGGCATAGTATTATACTACGGAGTATGTATATTTTATACGGAGTATATATACTTGTTCTATTATGAAAACAAAATAAATCACTAATAATCATTATGATAAGATTTGATATTGAATTATACAAGTCTTTTTGACCAAAAAAAAAAAAAAGGAAAAATATAACTTAAAGTGTTTGATTTCTGAATTGATAGTTATCATTTACGATGAAGAGTGTTAAAAAATTGATTAGAATTAAATCGAACTTATGACAACTATTTCAATCTAATAAACAATAAAAATCGATATTGAATTGAACATATTTTAAATTAAATTAAATCTATAATGTATCCATGTTAAATAAATATATTCCTTTGTGATGAAAAATAATTTTAGTTGAAATCCTTACAAAAAAATAAATAAATAAAAGTTTGAAAATAAATTGTATAGATTTTAAGGATTAACGATTTGAAGAACAGATGAAAAGTTGACAAAATGACATCCTAGATTATGCATTCAAGAGTTTTTTTTTTTTTTTTCTTTAAATGTTAAGTGATTAGGGGATTTTGCTCCCACCAATCGGAATGCGCCACGTGGTCCAATCAGGTCCTGCCAAGTGTCCCCCAGTTGGAACTGTCAGGGCTTGCCACGTGGCACACGCTTATTCGTCCACCTTAGACCTATTATGTCATGACACGTGGCATACTCCATGCCTAATGGAGAAACCGGCCACCCAGGCCCAACTTCCGAGGGAAGCCCAATCAGCCCAAGGTTAACTTAAACCTAGATTGACACGTTTCCCGAGGTTATAAATACCTCCCTTAATCCTCATTAAGGGAGATTACAGGCTGATCACGCTAAAAAGCAGATTACCTACATTAAACACTCTCACCTAGAGAGACCCAATCATTTTAATTTCCGCATTAATTACTCCTTAATCTAGTACTAACTTGATCGTTGGAGGCGGAGCTCCCACCACCAGGAGACTCCGTTGTTTTGCAGGTACAGGCGTCCGGTTCCAGTCTCGGAATTGTAACTCTCCCGCAGGACATCAGAAAAACCCGAAACATTTGGCGCCGTCTGTGGGGAGAGTACTTTTGAGATGGCATCCACGTTTGTACCGACTCCTGAAGAGAGGCGTCCCCTGGACGACCCACTAGTTCAGTCGGACCACGATACTGAGAATGAATTTGAAGTTGAAGCTCACACAGCTTCAGACGGGACCCTAAGGGCCCGACGTACCCGTCATACCGAAAGGAGGGAACGGGAACATCTTCAAACTGGAAGCGAGCCAGCAGGCGCACCGCCTGTTCGGCAACAGCCGACTGACGGGTCTGCTCCCATCACAAGGAACGAACGCATGACCTTCATGAGGGACTTCAAGGGAGAAATTCAAGAGTTGATCAACAAGAAGCCGCCTGCTCTGGACAAGGAGCAGTCGGCTAAGAAACCCTCCACTTCACGGAAGAGGAAGCCAGTTCAAGGGCGAGAGGCGACCCCTCATCCTAAATCTAGGAAGTGGGAGCCACCTGCCCTTGATTTCACAAAATACCGTTTTCCTACTCCAGGAAATAGGAAACCTGTTCGTCATATTCAGGCGGACGGGTCGAGGAAAACATACACAGACGCTCGGCTACTGCTAGAGCAGAAGAAGAGTGACCGATTGTCAGAGTCGGCCTCTACTTCAAACTTCCAAGACAGTCTGCGAAATACCTCGATGAGGCATGCTCAGTCGTATCATGAGAGTCAGTCAGGCGGCACCTCCCGTCAGTACGGCTTTCATAGCGACCAGGCGGTACCAAACTTACCGTTTGTACCGCAACAACAGTATTTCTTACAGCCACCTCCGTTTGGTGGACATGCAGCAAAAAATGTCCAACCTATGGACTGGCAGCTACGGTTGCTTAGACTTGGTGAACAGTCGTCGGCCTTCTCCAAGGAAATTACTGAAGCCGCTCAGCCGGCCAAAGTGAAAAATGTATTAGTAGGCGCCTATGACGGCACTACTAACCCAGAAGACCATCTGATGGCATTCACCAACCTGATGTACCTTCAAGGGTTGGGTGATCCCACCTGGTGCAAGTGTTTCCCAGCGACTCTCAAAGGAATCGCACAACAATGGTTCGGCAACCTGCCGACTGGTTGTGTAAATAACTTCAGGACGCTTGCTTACTTATTCACCTCCAACTTCGCCATGAACATCCCTGCGAAGAAGACGACCCTTGATTTAGGAACAATTCAGCAGGGCGAGAAGGAGGGGCTTGGTTCTTACATCAGGCGGTTTAACCTGATGAGAATACAGATTCAAGGGTTACCGGATGAAGTAGCCTATACTGACTTTTTCAGAGGTCTCAAAGACGGGTAGACCTTCAAATTTGATTTGGTCCGAAAGAGGGTGGCGACTCTTCAAGAGGCCTTGATTGAAGCGGAAGCCTATATACAGGCGACTGATCTTTGTAGAACGGGAAAACAGTCGGACGGGAAAAGGTTCGACAAAAAGAGAAGGACGACAGAAACAGTCGTCAAACAAAGACGAGAAAAGAAAAGAGGTCTGGGCGGCTGATTCCTCTAAACAGCCGGCCCAGAAAAAGAAAAAAGAATTCATACCATACTCCCCAAAGTATGCGTTTAACAAGGATAGCCAGTTTATCCTAAAGGAAATCAAGGGACGGATCTCAATTGAGAAGCCGGTCCCCATGAAGGGTTCTGCAAACAACCGGAACCAAGATAAATTCTGTGCTTATCATGAAGATGTTGGTCATCACACCAATGAATGCATCAGTCTCATGCGGTATCTGGACCGCCTGGCTGAACAAGGTGATCTTGACACTTATGTCAAGAAATCTACGAGGAACACTTCCTCAAAAAAGCAGTCGGCCAAACAGAATCAACAGGCCGACAGCTCCGATACAGATGATGCAGTCGTCTACACCATTGCAGGCGGCTTCTCAGGAGGCGGCCCCACTATTAGGGGCAACAAAGACAATATGAGGCGGTTAGATGTAAATTCCGTTCACCAAGAACGCCCCTCCAAATATTCATTTCCTGAGATTGTCATCACTGAAGAAGATCGAGGAGGGGTAAGAGGGCCGCATGACGACCCAATCGTTATTGAATGTAAAGTGGCCAACCAGAGAGTTGGCCGAATCCTCATAGATACCGGAAGCTCCTCAGATCTCATCAGTAGCAAATATTTGTCGAAACTAAAATATCAGACTGATTGCATACATCCGACATCCCACCCTTTAGTAGGGTTTGGAGGAGGAGTCGTCCACCCAGTGGGACGAGTGGATTTACCCATCCGCCTGGGCGAAAAAGGGGAAGGACGACACATGGTAGTCTGGTTCCTGGTAGTAGAAGAACTCTCGGCTTACAACATGATTCTGGGACGACCAACCCTGAATAATTCCAAGGCTGTTATAATCCCATCTCTTATGTTGCTCAAGTTTGAGAGGGATAATGGAACAGTCGGGTCCCTAAGGGGAGATCAGAGGATGGCCCGAGAGTGCTATCTCTCGGATGTCAAGCCCACTGTTATGGCCACTGGGTCGAGTGGTGGAAAAATAGACCTTGACAATGTCAAGGAGAGTGCGCCTGTTCAAAAAGCAGGCGGCAAGAAGAGAAAGGCATCCCAGACAGGGGCCGCAAGAAAAGACAGAAAATAGCAATCATTGGCAGAGGAGCGGTCGGATGAATTCCGCCCTCAGCCGGCTGGTGAGCATACGGACCTGATCCTAGACGACTCGCGTCCTGACCGAACAGTCAAAGTTGGGACGACTGCTCTGAGAGTCCTAGGTGACGACATTCACAAACTATTGAAAGAATACAAGGACATCTTTGCATTCGAAGTCCATGAAATGCCAGGCATTAGTCCTGATCTGGCGGTACATAAACTGGTCGTGGATCCGAAAAAGAAGCCGGTACGGCAGAAGAAGCGGAACCATGGCGAAGAAAGAATTCAGGCGGCAGCCGCCGAAGTTAAAAAATTACTTGATGCAGGGTTCATTCGGCAATGTTACTTCCCAGACTGGGTTGCAAATGTGGTGCTTGTTAAAAAGCCGAATGGCACCTGGCGAATGTGTGTAGACTACACAGACTTAAACAAGGTGTGCCCCAAAGACAGTTACCCTCTGCCTAAAATTGATAACCTGGTCGACTCAACAGCCGGCCATGCTTTGATGAGCTTTATGGACGCCTACTCTGGTTTCCATCAAATTCCTTTATGGAAGAAAGATCAGGAGAAGACGGCCTTCGTCACTGATCAGGGGTTATACTGTTACACGGTCATGCCGTTTGGTCTTAAGAATGCCCCGGCTACCTTCCAGCGAATGATAAACACTGTGTTCTTTGATCAGATTGGGAGAAACGTCGAGGCATACATTGATGATATGATTGTCAAGACTAAACTTCAGAAAGATCATATGTCGGACCTCCGAGAAACTTTCGCCACACTCAGGCGGCACCATGTCATGCTCAATCCCAAGAAATGTGTCTTTGGAGTTGAGTCTGGGAAATTTCTCGGATTCCTTATCAATCAGAGAGGAATAGAGGCGAACCCTGAGAAGGTGCAGGCGGTCATTGATTTGCAGTCGCCTCGTACCATCCGAGAGGTTCAGAAGTTAACAGGTTGTCTGGCGGCCTTGGGAAGATTTCTAAGCCGATCAGGCGACAAATGCTTATACTTTTTCCAGGCAATTAAGAAAAAGGCAAGGTTTGAATGGGGGCCAGATGCTGAGGTCGCCTTCTAGAAATTGAAAGTTCACTTGCATTCCTTGCCGAGGCTGGTTAGCCCTTTGCCCAAAGAAGTACTCTACATGTACCTGGCCGTCTCTGATCATGCGTTAAGCGCTGTTCTCCTTGCTGAAAGAGACGGCTGTCAGCTCCCGGTCTACTTTGTCAGTCATGTACTGAAAAATGCCGAGTTGAGGTATCCCTTAGTGGAGA